TATTATGTAATTCTGTGCATGGATGTAGCCAAGGGGGGGGCAGGGGAGCAACAGTCCCCCTAAGTCAATAAGAATCAATACAAAGCTGAGGTTCTATCTCCCCAACAAAAGCCTGCCCCCCTAACAAAAATCCTGGCTATGCCCATGATTCTGTGTGAATCAAATATAAAAGTAAACAATTGATTTCTTGTTGAATGGTAGCTTATCCTGAAAAGGAAAACCAGTATGGATTTTTATGCCTTTTTTTGTTTAAAAAGAGAAATGACTAAGGTAGTGGTTTTGTACGTAACAAACAATTCAACAGATTTGTACCAGATTTGTGTAGGACTCTTCTACCACAATTGATCAATGGTCAGTTTTGGAAGGGATAGTCACAACTGGAAGCGGGGTAAATTAGGATAGCTTTTGGGGGGCTTGTGGCCACACATTTTTCTGTAAAGAATTAACAGAACGCATTCATATAGTAAAAACAAAGTTAGCATTCTGTACACATGGGACCACTGGATATGCATGTAACAACCCCTCACTACATTATGAGGGAGAAGAACCTGAGATACTAAATGGCAACCTAAGCTTTTCAGCCATGCTAGTCACCAGCATCACCACAGTAATCACAATGCTTGGAGAGAAAGTTAAATCAAGTGTCATTATACTCATATTTCAGACGGAGGATTTGAAGTTTAGAGAAGATGGTTTGTCCAAGGCCACTTAGTGAGTTGGCTGAGGAGAGACAAACTGGGAACTTTCCGGCTCGCATTCTCACCTTTGCCTAAACATGTATTTCAAAGTGTAGTAAAGTCTATGGCAATACTGGGCATATCTGCTGAAGACCCTGGTGAAAACAGCATTATGAATATTTAATGTTTCTTGCACTAGCCCTGTCTGTCCCCCATTTAGAGCAACATTCCCCACAACATTGGTGCTACACTTATTCTCTTCCTTCCACATGTTAAAATATGAAGATGTGGTAAGGATAGGGAGTGGCTGCCTTTGTGCCATATTATGTAAGATCATAAAACATGGTGAAGACTTAACAAACACTTTTTCATTATTTCAGGGAAGATGGATTGCTTTAGAAATTGAATTACTCTGTAATATTAGGGTTGTTGTTGTTAGCTTATGGAAAAGCCTAAAGCATTATTTCAATGATTCAGGCATTTCTGGATGAGGCCAAGTGTTCTGGACCAATTTCTGTCTGACTTCAGGCACTCGTTTAGGATCGAAATAGTCACAGCCACCCTGACCAGTTATTTTCTATGGGAGAAAAGCAAGAAAAATGTGACCCTGTTGATGGTCCTGGATTTCTCACTGATTTTTGTAACCATAATTAATGCATCTCACCAAAATGCTCTGTGGGTTGGGAACTGGAGGTACAGTGGTCCTGCTCCTACGTACATAGCCAGTTCCACATGTAGCACTAGGGGATTTCTGTTTGGCCCTGTGAAGGGATTAGATTGTACTTAAATAGATGGTTTTCTAAGGACTCTGATTTTATATGTATTATTGTGTAATATATGGGAATGCACATTTTTATTGTTTGTTCAGTTGGAGATTGTATAGGGTTAACTTGCTGTTCCAGGAGGCTCAAATAAAAAAACAGTAGAACTCCATTGTGTATATGAATTATGACATGTCTCGTGTCTGAGAGTGGGGAAACTAAAAGGCTCCAATACTTCCTGCTGCCCATAGCCTGGTAGGTGGAGTCTGCGATTTCCAGGGGGTGGATAGGGAAAGTCTTTATCTACAGGTAGTTAGCCTGAAGGTGTGTGATTTAAGGTGGAGCTCCTGAGGCATCAAAGCTTTTGTATGCCTGGGAGAGAATGGTGGTAAGAAATATGTACTGGGATTGTACAGGACAACAAATAAGTTTATGATTCTCACTTTAGGGAATGCACTAGAGTTAGGGATAGAGGATTGTGTTTAACCATTTGTTTGTCCTTTGCTTCATTTGGTTTATGCTGGTTTTCTGTGAAATTTTCCTTGTAATATCTTTTTCTTAAAACACCATATAACTTCAGATTTTGTTTCATAAGCTTATTGTGGTCTTATCTCACTTTAACACCTCCAAACCTAGAAGCCATAAACTATGCTACCCTGAGAGGCCTCAGGGAAGTATACTCTGTGGTGGCCAGATGTTCCTTTCCCAGGTGGTACAGGACCCAGGGTAGTGATGGGTGTCCACCAGAGGCCCCAAGACAGTTGTTCCATGGAGTCCCTCAAGGTTCTGTTCTGTTCACAGTGCTATTTAACATCTATATGAAACTGCTGGGTGAAGTCTTCAGATGATTTGGAATTTAATAGATCCAGTATCTCACCAGAGTTAGATGAGGCTGTAGAAGTTCTAGATAAATATTTGGCCACCGCAATGGGCTGGATGAAGGCCAGGAAACTGAATCCTGTTAAGAGGGAGATGCTGTGGCTGAGTGGTTCCCTTGTTTTGTGAATGGCCTGTTGTTGAGGTGTGCAATGTGGAGCACCCTACATAGTCAGATGATGCTGTGCTGCTGCCCTTCCACCAACACACACATAACCACAACACGTGTGTGTTGTGGTATTCTGAACATGATTTACGTAACGAGGCAATTGTGGTGCGTGTTGCCCTTCCATCATTGGAACATTGTTGTATAGCTGAAAAAGTATGACATGGCTTTTTGTGTGTGTGTTTTGTGATTTTGTTGTAATGCATATAGTGATCTTATGACATTTTATTGTTATCTGCCCTGAGATCTTTAGGCTAACGGTGGAATCTAAACATTTTAATAAATACTGAATGTACCTCTAAATAACATAAAAAAGCAGCTGAAATGGGAAAAAAAAAAGATTTCTGTCATTCTGGAACCAGCCTACTGCAATTCAAACTATAGTTGTGATTAGACAGCCACTCTAGGTGGCTAGAAACCAGAATGCTAAGAAGTGGTCTTTCTAATAGAGGGACTAAACAATTACAGGCACAAATCCATCATAAGGTTTTGAGAGACACGTCTCAAGCAGAAACTCTGCTATATCCTTCAGCTAGATGTTTCAGAACATGGGGGCTCTCTTTAATGCTGGCAGTTTGATGATATGGACCACGTGTACGGATTGTGCACTACAGTGTGCTGTGCATTTGGCGTGGGAAGAGTTGTTGATGCAAAGAGAGAGAGAGAGAGAGAGAGAGAGAGAGAGGAAAATTGAAAGCAATTAATTCACTTTGTCTTTAAAATACAGGGTGGCTGATATGGTCAAAAGCATTAGGGGAAATGCCCTAATAGAACTGCAGTTCAGCACAGCGGTCCAACTGCATAGGGAAGCAGCTATCTATGGAATCTTGGTGGTCTTCAGAAAGGGCTAGAGAGGAGTTTGCCCAGGACAAAAGATCTCTGGTTTAATTAAGATTCCTTTGTTACCTTAGGGGGGGGGGGTTGTCTGTGGGGAAGTTGAAATTCTGGAGAAAGGAAAGGAGAATTTGTGGAAGAGTGAGAGCCCTGGTGTGGCTGTTGATGGCTTTGCCACTCCTTCCATGTGTGATCATTGGGAAGCAGCAGTTGGGAAGCCCAAGTTGGCAGTTTCACTGGGGAGGTGTAAAGCTCCGCACTGAACGAGCAAGCTCTTCCTGGAGAGATGCCTGCAGAGCTCAGATGCCAGAAGCAACGGGAAAGCCGGCTGCGCCCTCCCATCCTCCACCTCCTGGCTTGCGGAAAACGGAAGAAAGAAGGAAGATCCAGGAATCGGACATCCTTGGGTAGTGGCAGCAGCACCTGCACCTCCCTTCTTCCCACCTGGTGCAGAGGCACGGAGCCCAGAGGCAAGACCGGATCACCACCAGATTTCTCCCTCTTCACATCGCCCCCAGGCTAGGCGAGAGAAGAGCAGCCGGAGCAGGGAGATCGCCGCCTCAGGAAACGCAGCCAGGAAAGGCAGCCCCGCTAGGGGAACGAAGGATGGGGAATCCGCGCTGAACCAACGGCGCCAAACAAGTGGCGGAGCCTAACTTCACGCTGCCAGCTACAAGTTGACGCACCGCTCCGCTCGGGGCAGCCCAGCCCAGCCTGCCCCCTCCCCCCAGTCGCTTTCCGCAGCGAAAGCAACCTGCTCCCTCTCTGCGCTCCGCCTTCCATGGAACAGTTGCCATGTGGCAATTAGACGCGAAATTACAGGGTGTTGCGAGGGCGGACTGCGGAGAAGTGCCCCCACTCTTTCTCTCCCCGTTCCCCCATTTCTCCTTTTCCTTCCACTTTGATTACATTCAAATGCTTTTCTTTCCTGATCTGCTGAAGTCCTCCTATTTGGAACCCAATCAGAGTTCAAGGCTATAAATCATTCCCTTCTTTTCTTTTTTTAAAAACAGAAAGGCATCCTCCCTGCCCAAACCTTACAGACGAAGCCTTGGCTTTTGGGTTAATTAAATGCCAGCTCTTTCCCACTCCGGTGGATACAAAGGCCATGAGTACCAGAGAGTCTGGATTGTTCACCAATCACCAGACATCCAGTCGTCTCACCCAGGGAGACCGTAGGCACTTTGTAAACGGGAGGGGGCTTGCTGTTGTTGCTGTCATGGGTTGGTTTGTTTTCTGGAAGAGGGCGGCTTTAACTCCAAATACTGAAGCACAACTTCGTATCAAAGAAGGAGGCTTAGTTCTGGGAATGCTTCAACGCAGCTGCAGGCTGGTGAACCACTGGGACTGGGCTTTAGCGCCCGCAGGGGAAATTCAATTTGGGAAAGGGGGAAAGCCAAGGGAGAGGAGAGGGAGAGAGAGATACACGCGGAAGCAAAGCGTCGCAGCGACACACGTGCGCGCGAGGGGGCAGACACACGATGGTGACATCCTTTAATCTCGCTTCCTCCGCCCATCTTTCACCCTTTGCTGTCCTAGCATTTCTTAGGATGATTCTGCTGCTGAAATTGACGAGACTGACAGAGAAACTGACTGTTCTTCGTTATTCCTATTTCAAGGCGTTCAGATGGCTGAGGATGGGGGATGCAGCTGCGAACCTCTTTTGCAAAACGCATCTTCAGTCACCCCCGTTTCTGGTTTGAATACTGCCTACTTTGTCAAACAAATATTGGACCCAAACTGGTACACCAGTAGAAAAATAATCGAGCGAAGTTCAGCTCCCCCTCCCCGCTCCAATTTATAAAGACGGGGCTTTAAACTAGAACGCAAATAAGCTTCTTTCTCGTATTAACCAGCAGGGTTATTCCCTCCAGCCCCAAAGCCGAAAAGTGGCGGCTTGCTTCCTCGCCGTTTCGTGGAAGCTGCCCCCTCCTCACCCAACAGCTCGCCTCTTTCTATCACTGAACCGAGAGCTTGGCGGGGAACCGGTCGCCTTTAGCCAAGCCATATTTCACTCTAATGCAAACCCATTGAAATCATCGCCTTGCATCTCCCCCCTCCGTCGTCTTGATTCACTGATTGATTCTTGAAAATGGGATCATAAATCCAGAGAGTGTCAGGAGAAAAATCCCGAGAATACGTGCTGGAAGGGAGGGCGCCTCTGATTTCCAAGGAGGGAAGAGGCGGCTGGGAAAAGAGAGATGGGAGCGCTGGGGAAGGCAAAGAGCAGAGCAGCAAACTCCCCGGGGGATGGGAGCGTGTGAACTGCCTGCAGGAGGGAAGTGGGATGGGGTGGATTATCTAACGCTGGGCATCCTGGTCCTAAGGAAGCCCTCGAGTCTAGTGATCCTACAGCCCAATGCCAAGTTGGTTGGTTTCCATTGCTGGGGCTGCTCTCTGCCATGCCCGCGGCTGGCGCTCTCCTTCAGCACCACTCCCTGCCAGCCCGCGTGCCAGGGCTCTCTGGCCATTTCTGGCGCCAACAACCTGATGCTGGAGCCTCCGCGGAGCGCCCTACCTGGAAGAGCCTCAAGATGTTGGCCACCATGATGGAGACGGAGCTGCCCGACGCCCCGATGACGCCCACCACTTTCTCCGGCTTGACGAAGACCGGCGGCTCCCCGTTGGTGCACCTCACGTCGGAGGTGTCCTTCTGGATGAGCGCCTGCACGAAGGTGAGCGACTGCTCCAGCGCGTACGTATCCCTGGAGCAGGTGTCCAAGATCCTGGCGCCCAGGGTGACGTTGGGCAAGAGCTCGGGGTCGCTGTTGATCTGGTCCAGGGCGTAGAGCATGGCCTCCAGGCGGTGGATGCCGTTCTCCTTCTTGATGTCCCCGCACGGCACGCCGGTGGGGCCCTTGGCGTGGACGGGGAAGAGGCCGCCCAGGGTGATGTCGCCCTCCAGGCGGATGGAGTGCAGGGCGTACATCTCCTGGCCTTGCGCCACCGCCGACAACAGGAACTCCAGCAGGCACCAGGGCAACTTCATCAAAGTCAGCAGCTGCCACAGCCTCCCCGGCTGGAGCATGGTGGGCACCCAGGCTACCACGAGCAGGAAGCAGGGAACGCCGCTGTTCCAGCAGCCGCCAGCCAACCAGGGGTCCGGGCGCCTCCTGCCGCGAGCGAGCGAGGATTTACCGAGGGGCGGGCAGGGGATGGTCCGGTGGGGCGGGGAGGTCCAGCTCCGGGCTCTTGCCGTAGGCGCTTCTTCCCGGACGCGCTCGCCTGCCTGCCTGCCTTCCTCGGCTCGCTACTGGGCGAAGGGGAGGCTGGGCTGCCGCTTTAAATGCTCGGTCGGCTCCTCTCCGCCTCCCGCTCCCGCTCTGCCCACCTCCTTCTCCTCCTCCTGCTCCCAGGCTTGCTTGCCTGCCTGCTCTCCCTGCGCGTCATTACGCAAAGATGCGGGAGGAGCGGAGAGAACCGCTGGCGAGGCGGAGACGGCTGCGGGAAGAAGGGATGGCGAGCCTCTCGCAAACCTGGGCTGTTCTCTGCTCGGCGGAGGCAGGCGACGTCTCCAGCCTGCCTTAGAGTCTCTCTCCTTCGGGTCTTTTCAGTTGCCTTTTCAAATAGTTTTTCCGCTGCTGTCCATCGGCTTATTCTCTGCTGCTTCAAAAGAAGACCCACCTGTTATCCTCTGCTGAACCGATTCGGGTCCCCTGAAACTGAGATTCGGGCACGGTGTACCTTGTGTTGATTTCGAAGAAGGAAAGCACATTCTTCTAATAGATTGTGAACTTTCTGGGACAGGGATGCTCAACCCGCTGTTCAGCACCTTGGAGAGAAGAGGGCTAACTTTGGCTTCTGGGATTTTTCTTGTGTTTTACTAGAACTACTAGAAGTATCAACTACTGTAGTGCCGGTTGCAGAAGGTATCCACTTAGATTTGAACAACATTGTTTCTCTGAGCAGCTGCTAGGCGTGCGGTTTGGTTTTAAGCACCAGGACAGAACTCAATTTACAATCGCTGTAAAAAGAAAAAGAAAAAAAAATCTGGCAGTTCCAAATTTTCTTCACCATTCTAACTGGGGTGGGTGCTGGGTAAGTAATTTTGTTGCTAATATCCTCTACCAATACAGCTGGCCTGTTTAAAACTGTCGATTACAGAGTTTCTGGAGTTCCATAGCTGTGCTACCCAGAGCAGCAGACGGGAGAGAAACGGGAGAAACAAGACAAGCAAACTATTTTCTAGTGTAACTTGAATCAATTCAATATATTGTTTAACCCAATGATGCTCAGCCACACAATTGGTTTCCAAAGTCAGGGCTCAGGTCCTTTATCTGTGCACAATTCATTTCCTTTTTCAACTACTCTCCATCTCTTAGGATACTAGAGTGCCTTACAAAGTAATTAAAACAAAATACGTTATATAGAATGGTCATTTATTCTCTCGTGACTTTGGCAATGTGCAGAGTACTTCCTAAGTCACTTGAGCCACCTGCCAGAAATTTCAGTAGGACCTACACTTGATCAAGAGTGCATAGGATTGATAATTAATTCCAGCCTGTGGGATGGGGCAGGTAGGAAAGTCAGCTGAAGTCATCATCAATCTGTTCATTTGCCCTGTGTGTGGATGGCACTGTCAGAAGAGGAATCAAAATGAATGTTGCATAAACTAGCGCACTATCTTTCTCTTTTTTGTTTCCCTTCAGTGTTGCTAGAATTCTGAGATCTTTCACAATTTAGGGAAGGCGACTTGAGTACACTTATAGCCTTTTGGAATCTGCATGTGGAGCGAACTTGTGCCCAGTCACACACACTCTGCCCTCTCCCCCTGGATATCCAAGCACCAATGCAGATATCTGCAAAGGAAAAGGCTTTGCATGTACAGCTTCCACATGACTGCAAACTCATGACACATGATCCAGGATGTGTGAAAACTGCATCTACCTTCCCTTTTACAGACATCCAGGCAGTGGGGCTTGGGACATTTACTCTCTGTCACCTCTTTTCCAGACTAAGCATACTCAACTCCATCAATCATTCTTCTGGAAACCAAGCCTGAGACTGAGATGATATATGATAGCCATATTCTAGTACCAGAAGGGCGGAACATGGTGGAACAAGCTTGTTTTCTTCTTCTCCAGAGAGAAGAACCAATGGATTCAACTTAAAAGAAAGGAGATTCTGACTAAACATTAGGAAGAACTTTCTGATAGCAAGAGCTGTTCAATAGTGGAATGTACTCCCTCGGAAGGTGGTGGACTCTCCTTCCTTGGAGGTTTTTGAGCAGAGGTTGGATGGCCGTCTGTCATGGATGCTTTAGTTGAGAGTCCTGCATTGCAGAGGGTTGGACTAGATAACCCTCAGGAATCCCTTCCAACTCTACAATTCTATGATTCTATGAAATTCAAAGTGGCTAAGTACGCTTCTTTTTCATGACTGAGGTACATGGAAAAAATACATGTTGGGATGGAGTGTATTCTGCACAGTTATATACCCGCTGGCAAACTCCCTTGTTTTAGCTGCAAGGCAGAAGTCCAAGTGGTGTGTTAGATTAGTTGCATTCAGTGTATTGGACTTCAGCAAGGACAGCATCTCAGATCAGACATCTTGATCTTTCTAGATTCAGCCAAATTTTATCCTGTAACATTAAGATTTCATGGTAGAAGTAGGCTAGCAGATGTGGCTGATCAAATTATAACTGGTTCTAGCTGATTAACTCTTGATTGAGTTTTTCAAAGCACCCTAAGGGATTTCAGCACATCTCCCATTAATTTGAAACACATATTTAGTGGAAAATTTGTGTTCAAATATGCTTAGACAGCTCTGAAAATCGAATTGTGCTGAAGACAAAGAGTAGGCATCAGGTACCTTTAACAAGGAGCATAATGCTCTAGGACAGCCTTTCTCAACCTGTGGGTCCCCAGATGTTGTTGAACTACAACTCCCATCACCCCTCCCAACTCCCAAGGCCAGAGTTCAGGGATGATGAGAGTTGTAGTCCAACAACATCTGGGGACCCACAGGTCGAGAACCGCTGCTCTAGGACTAGGTTCTTCTTCTCAGCTGATACAAGCATGAGCTTTGTTTTTTGTTTTTGTTTAAAATGGGGCTTTACTACATATGCAGTATGTTTTGGTTGCACCCCAGCCAATAAGACTAAAAAAAGAATTTCCAGCTAGATCAAACTAAGGACAGATCTGCTCCAGCATTTCGCTGGCTCCCCGAGGCAATGCATGAAGCTAGAACCTTCTACCATTCTATGTCTCTGACATATTTGGAGGTACCTATTTTGAAGTTCCATTTAGCTATCATGACTAACAGCTATTGATAGACCTGTCATCCGCATTGGATCTAAATCTCAACTTGTTTTGTGATGGGCTGGCCACACTGCGATGCTTTCTTGTTGCTGTTGCCTTCTTCCTTTTTCATGTCCCCTCCCTTCCCTTTCACATGGAGGTGATCTTGAAAGAGTGGGTTAGCTTTCATTAGGCTGTTCAGAGCTGCCTAGAATTGTGATAGATGTAGTTCCTTTCCCATGGTTTTTTACATCCTTAGTGGGACACACACCTCATCCCCATTCAAGACTCAGCACTATCATTAGTCCAGGAGTAGCTGCCCTGGTAGGGCAGTCTCAACAGAGGCATTTCTGCTGCTTACAGGAATGATTACAGGCCTGACCCAGGGGTGGCAGAGAGAAGGCATGGTGGGGGCAGTGGGAGCACTGTGCCTCTCCTCCACTGGGCTCCTGCGTGTGAGATTGCCACTGGCCCAGCACTGCCAAGCTGCAATTTTACTCAAGGGAACAGAATACAAACAGAGATACCTACAGCCCTACTGGCCCTGGTAAAGCAGTTGCCTGACCTTGGGGCAGCAGCACCATGCCTCTCTTCCACTGAGCTCCAGCACACGAGACTGATGCTGGCCCAGCACCACCGGGCTACAGCTCAACTCCCAGGTCAAGGCCGACCTGGGGATAGCAGCATCAGATAGACAGAACGACAACACTGGCAGCACCGCCCCTCTCCTTTACTGGGCTCTTGCATGCAATATTACTGCTGACCCAGTGCTGCCAGGCCACCGTTCCTCTTCTGCTTCAGGCCTGACCTGGAGGTGGCAGTGGTGGAGGGAAGGAGTGGCAGTGGGAGAGGGAGAGAGAGAGGGAGCACTGGGTCTCTCTGCCACTGGGCTCTGGCATGCAAGGGAAGCGAGGACAGCCCCTGCAGTGAGATCATGCATGCAAGGCCAGCAATTCTGTTGGTTCCTGCAGAGGATGGGCCTGAGTTGCTAGTTCCGGCTAATCATTGGGGCTGGGCTTTGGTGGTGGCAGTGGTGAGCCTCTCCTCTTCTGCTTGCTCTCCAGCAGCCACTTGGAGCTGCAAAAGGGAGGAGGCCAGCAGCAGAGGCTATGGAGAGGCTCATTTTAATGTATTTTTAATCTTCTGTTGGAAGCCGCCCAGAGTTGCTGGGGAAACCCAGCCAGATGGGCGGGGTAGAAATAAATTATTATTATTATTATTATTATTATTATTATTATTATTATTATTATCATCATCATCATCCCCCTCCTCCTCCTCCCTGAGCTTGGCAGCAGTTCTGGAGGGGGAAAGCGGGATATTCCTGGGTCCAAATGGAAGCCAGGAATGCTTCTGTGAATCCAGGATGTTCTGGTAAAATGGGGGTGGTTTGAGGGTATGGGAGCAGGAGGAACTACTCAGGTGTATACAATTCTAAGCCAAGTCTCTAAACAGCAAAGTAAGAGGGAGGAGTAAGGCACTTGTGAGCATTTCAGAGTCTTCCAGTCCCATGAGCGTCACCAGGAAGGTGCAGGTGGGGGCAACTTCCCCCCTACATCAAGTAAATAAATAAAAATACTTAACTAACTGCCCAGTTGTGCCACAGATAACTCGGTTCTGGGTCTCCCTAACATAAAGCTTGCCTCCCCTAAAATAAATCCTGGCTACGCCCCTGCTCAAAGCAGGGTGTGAAGGCTGCAGTCTATGTAGGCCCCACTCTGCAGAGTGAGCAGGAAAGCCCCTAAACCCAGTAGGGCTGCCTTAAATGTATGTGGGAAAAAATAATATATAT